GCATTTTTAAAAGGAGAAAAAAAAAGTAGCATGATAAAAGTAGTGATCTAAGCAAATGAGTAGTTGGTGTGGTTTCCTTCTGTTCATCATCAAGATACCATTCTTGGTAGCTGGGTCTGATGACTGTGGGGGAGTTAGTCTCCCCTTATGTGTCCCACTGTCCTGTTTCCACTAAGCTAGCAAGGTGTGCTTTGAAAAGGCATCCTTTCTCTGATTTTATATCTCTAAATACAAATGAAGTGAAGCTGCATATCACAGTGCAATACATGCCCCTCTGCTCTTATTGTGGTAGGAAGTTTGATCCTGGCTAATGGCAGTGTTAGCAAAATAGAAAAAAGGGAATCAAGCGCAAAGTAGGTTCAGTGGCAGGAGTGGTGGAGCAGGAGAAAAAGAGGAAGGAGAATGAGGTATTTTTGGATGTCTTCACAGTGGTCTCAGGTGTTTTCTAGGTTTTGTGTCTACTGTTAACATGCTGCCTGGGGTTATGAAATACTACTACAATCTAACTTTGTGCTGACAGATATGCAGCCTGAATTTCTCCTGGCATTGCTGTGTAATTCATCTAAGCAGGAGGGGATTTTTGTCAGTGGGATGGCTGCACTGGCAGCAGTCAGTAGAGCAGACCAAGTTATAGAGAGGGACTAATCAAACCTCAGAGGAGGGCGATGGAGAGGGAATAACCTCTGAGGAAGGCAACAGTAGAATGGGTTGAGTACAAAGGGCTGTTTAATGCAAAACAAAATCAGGATAAAAAGACAAGGGAAACTTTTTGGGCTCTCCTCTTTCCTTTGATTTGCCACAACTATTCCAGTAGTACCGAATCAAGTCCTACCAAGCTAGACAGACATAAACACATATTTGTAAAGTGGCAAAGTATGGGTTTCTTAGTTGATGTGTTGGGTCTTAAAAGTTTTTTCATTACTTTAGTTGATGCTCACTGATTTACATCAGCTAAGGAATCTGATTTTTACTCACTCCAGGTCTTGTCCTGCAATTTGAGAGGCATTGATAATTTTGCCAGAACTCCAAAGGCTTGAAGGTCTGAAGCCCTAATAAATTGGAGTTTCACAAATGAAGTATGAGGGCTCATTTTAGAAAGTGTATATGAAGAGAGTGCCTTGTTTGTGGCATAAACTGCCAAAATGCATTTTTAGGACTAATGGGTAGTTTTTCTGTGGTAGTGATTTCTGTGATTAAAAAAATAAGTCTTTTGTGAAACCATAGTGGTCACACTTAATCCATTTAATGCAAAAGTTGTGCTAAACCAAAGAGATGATAAACACTGGCATATTACAAAAATACAGATTTCAGACATGGTTTTCTTCATTCAGTTCTGTTCATTCAGTTAGTAAGGCTGGTAATTATTGAGGATTAGTACAGTGCTGCACAGGATTGTTGTATTTTCCTACAAACATACGCATGAGGAGGAGAAAAACACTAATTAGGGAAGTCCAGGGCAGATGAAAAGAATAAAATAAATTAATCGAATGCTTGTGTCTGCACTTATGTATCGTGGTATACAGTATGAGGAGGCTCTAGGGTTGCATTGTTGTGGGAAACTAAGTTCTGCAAGGAAGCCCAAGTGCTCCAATGAACAAGAAAATATATAGTTCAGTATCTGACAGGTATAGAGCTATTCATAGATGGATTAGAAAGATGAATTTGAAAGCTAATTAAAAGCAGAGCTCAGAAAATTCTGATGCAATTATGTTCTCTTATCACAATATTTGCAACTGAAAATACTAATTTATGACTAATGTAGGTAATGTTTCAATATTCCCTAATACTTTTTGTTTTTTTCTGTTCAGGCACATAAGGAAGAAGAAAATCCTCGGAAGACAATGGAAGTGAATGGGTTTATGCTGGTGCCAGATTCCTATGACTATGATCTCATTGTCATCGGTGGAGGCTCAGGAGGTCTGGCAGCTGCCAAGGTATGAGGAGGAAAATACACATTTATACTTTCCTTGTAAGTAGATGGGTGACATCCCCAGTGTCTTGGCTTTGGTATCTTTAACACTGTAGGGGCATAACATTTTTGTTTGATCGGTGAAATTTCTTTCACTATTTCACTTTTTCACCATTTTGGTTAGTGCCAATTATTCAATATTCTTTTCTTTATGTTCTGAAGATGGAAAACATGATATACTCCTTAATATTCCCTAAAACTCCTTACTAGAATTAAACTTGGTCCCCATTTATGGGAGATGATGCTGCTGGAAAACAGCAAGTAAATATCTTAAAAGTGTTTTAGTAGTTGAATTTAAACTCAACTCAACAATGAAAAGGTTCTATTCAAAATTACCATCAGGAGGTATCTACTTTTGTATAGAAGTAGTATCTTTTCAGACATAGTTGTGTATCTTGTTTTAATTCTTGGCAATGGGGGAGATTCTGTGATTTTTGAGCTTACATAGTTGCATAAATTGAGATTTTGCCTATACTTGAGCTATGGTCTCACCCTTCCTTTCCAGGGTCTGGTGTTTCCTTCCTGTAGCCAGATGAATTATGGAGTTTTAGGAAATTGCTATTAGAAGCATATCTAGAATTAAATAAAATTTTAAAAAGCTGGTACAAAATACACCAGCTGTTAGAGCTGTCATAATCCCAAATATTCTAAACTTGAAGAAATTTAGTGTAAATTAGCAACTCTCCTTTACATCAGTAGTCAGGCACATTGTGTTTCTTCTGTCTATGGTAGGATTAGCTATTTAGAAGTGAATTGAGCATTCATGTGAATAAAATTACTTTGTTGTTCAAGACCTGGAGCTGGATTATTCCTCCATTTGGGAGCATTTCTTTTGTTCTTGAGAAGTGGAGGAGGTCATGCACAGTGAAAGAAAATAAGGAGAAAATATTTCAGAATAGTGTTGAATTCACAGTGAACCCTGGTCCCTTAGAAGTACTTCTGTTATAATGGAAATATGCAGGGCTGAGTGATGGATTGTAGATCCATCTATTTTCATAGTTTACTGCTTTCCTATGATAGGGGCACTGTTGTCATGGTGTAGGATTGAGGACTGAAGGAAAGATCTATGAAAGTTCTAAGAACCACAAAGAGAAGCAAGTCCTGATTTTCAGAGGATGGAGATGTTCTGGGTCAGGAGAGATTAACAAGAGTAAAATAGAGTTTACAGTATTGCAAAAGAGTTTGCAGTAATAAGAAGCCAGCAGTTGAAATTTCTATAAGAAGACTAACTGACACAGTGATGTTTATAGCATCATTTTTCAGTTGTAGAATAGAAAAAGTGTGCAGTAGGAAAATAAATTGCCTAATTCCTTCAACTCAGTATGTGAAGTATATTGATTCTCAGTGTTCTCAGCTGATTGTTTAGTAGAACAGAAGATGGTAGATCAATAAAGTCAACATCCCTATCAGTAGTAATGTATGTATTTCTAATCAGTTTAATAAAGTTGAAGTGAAACTGTTTTACACACATATACTTCTGACTTTTACTTAGATTGTTCATTTTTTTAAAAAATAATTCACTGACAGTGCTTTAAAATAACCAAACCAAAACAGAAAAAAACACAGCTACACAGCTCTCATACAAAGTTCCAGATACCTGCACTCAGGTTTGCAGCAGTTTACCCAGACTGATTAGATGTGTGTTTTCACTCTGAAACCTGCACCTTTGTGTGCACATCTCCCTCTCTACATTGTGCCCAGATCTTGTTCCTTTGGAGGCCATTCTCCACAGGGAATGCAAACACTGTCAGGCTGACTTGGTACAACTCAGCTACAGACTCAGAATGGTGCAAGGCCCCTCCTCTCAGCTCACACAGAATAGCTCCCTAAGCAGCCTTGCTGCATTCCCGCAGCACTGCACTGAGCCCTGAAAGGTTTGAGAGCCTACAGGGCAGGTTTGTGGCTGTCGACAGATCACTCAGCCCACTCAGAAATGGTTATATCTGTGTATGATCTCCACCAAGGTGGTGATGCAATGCTGTGTTGTGTTATGTGAGCATGTAGCTAAAGGGAAGCTTGGGAATCCATGCATTCTGCTTAGCTAACCCTGGTTAAGGCTCTTTGGAGCAGTGCTTAAGAGTTGTCATCATAAAGGAGCTTTAATGACGCGTCTCAGTCCCTAAGTGCCTTTCTGAGGAACTTTCTCAGAGGTGCTGCTAATGGATAGGAATTAGCTTCTTGGCCAGACTAGATCTTCATTGAAAGTGGAAATCCAGTACAGCAATATTTTCTGAAAGTGTCTACAGCCTGTGTTATTTGTAGTGTGATTTGCATTTTGCATGAAGTAAGATTCATTTAAAATTGAAATTCTGATTGTCAAATATTCGGATTAACAAGTATTACTGGTAACAGAATGCTGAAAGCTGTCCAGCTCCTCCTAAAACAAACCTAATGCCTGCTCATGTAGTTGTTACTGCTGACATGTCTAAGAATTTATCATATGATGCCAGCATAGTTGTGACTACTGCAAGTAGCAAAATTATTCTGCTTCATCTTATGGGATAGTTCTCAGTATCATTTACAGGCATTAATTGTAGATTTGCTAGTGAAACTTAGGGGGAATATAGGATCATAGAGTCATTAAGGCTGTCATGCTTGGCCATATGACTGGTTGTGTCATTTTATGATGTGTTTTCAAACAAATGCTGGAGAAACCATCTTTGAAGGGAAAACTGGATTAATTAGGAATCTGTTAAGTAGGTTAAAAGTAAATTGGTATGTTGGGAAATAGTCTGAACAAAGTGACAAGAAGGAGGAGTGAAGAGGAGGTTGGACTCAGAATCTCCTGCGTATCAGCTGGTGCCATGTTGTTTTGTAGTAGGGTGAATGCCTTTTTTTGCCTTTCAGCTTCTTTTTCCTACTGAATGCACAGGTGAATTCAGAAGATTAATGACTGTCTGCTCCCTTGCAAATCATTCACTGTTACTTAATTAAAAGTCACAAAGCTTTTCAGCAATGCATGGTGTTATTGTCTGCTTCAAGTTTAACTTCTCATATTTAGAAATGTGTCTTATTTAATTTGTTTTGCAGGAGGCTGCCAAATATGAAAAGAAAGTGATGGTGCTGGACTTTGTCATGCCTACACCTCAGGGAAGCTCGTGGGGTAAATTTCTCTTCATTGCAATCCTATTATAAAGGAGCTTTGCTCAGAGACTCTTATTTTCATGTTTGAAATCTACTACACTGATGTGAAAACCACATTCTGTTCCTTTCTTTCAGGTCTTGGAGGAACATGTGTAAATGTGGGCTGTATACCTAAAAAATTGATGCACCAGGCAGCTTTACTGGGACAAGCCTTGCAAGATTCACGCAAATTTGGGTGGCAGTTTACAGAAGAAGGTAAAGAAGGACATTTTTTCCAGTTTTGTCATTTGCACTGAAAATCCTGAGGTGCTTCATAATCAGGAGCACGTTGCACTGCAGCATATGTTGGCTTTAACAATGTGAGGTAACTTTGGAGGGCTTACACATAAATTGAAGTGCTTTTCAAGTCTAAAGCCATGGGGCTTATTGCTTCCATGTTTTCCATGTTTGTTAATAGCTCCTGATCATGTTAGTAATTGATGAGACTGTTGTATGAAAAAAACCAGTAAGGTGCTCTTCCATTTCTGAATGTACCAAAACATCTAAGGGAATACACCAGAATGTTGACTGACATAAACTTCTTATAGTTACAAGCAAGGATTTCCTTTCCCTAAGTGTCTATCACTACTGTGTAAGAAGATGGATTTTACTTTTTATTATCTCTGATATGCATGGTTATGGGATTATGATTTATTTAGGCTGCAATCCTGTTTTTGGAAGCATGCAGAGGCACCTCTCAGACATGCATTGTCTTCATTTGTTGAGCAATGTCACCTCTTACAGCTGTAAATATATATTTGTCAATATAAAACTGTCAATAATTCAGTAAGTCTTAATTTTAAATGTTTTAAGTCATACCTATTGCACTGTGACCTCTCATGTTATCCGTGCCAATGTAATGCTTTGAATTTCAGTAGCTTTACCCTGAAATAAAACAGAAGTAAGACAAACCCAGGAAGACTGGGTCATGAAAATAATCTCTTTGAGAATAGCAATTTTGCTGTGGAAAAAGAAAAACTCAGACTAAAAGGTGAACCTTCCTCTTTTGTTGCTGACAGTCAAACACAACTGGATGACCATGACAGAATCTGTTCAGAATTACATCGGTTCACTGAACTGGGGCTATCGGGTTGCCCTGAGAGACAAGAAGGTCACATATGAGAATGCATATGGAGAATTTGTCGGGCCACACACAATTAAGGTACATCATAGTCATTCTTTGCTGTGTCTTCCTGGGTTTGCTGTCTGAATAGAGATACTTCTCAAATAGAATAATTTTTCCTGTGGCGGGACTGTAAAACACTCACTTTGCACCAATACTTTGTATGCAGGCAACAAATAAAAAGGGAGTTGAGAAGCTGTACACAGCTGAGACATTTATCATTGCCACTGGTGAACGACCACGCTACCTGGGTATACCTGGAGACAAAGAATATTGCATTACCAGGTAAAAACAGGGAGGAATACAAAGTCATTCCTTGTGTGTAAATATTTCCCCATACTGAGAAGCACAGTCTACTTGAAAGAAAACTCTGTACTTCGATATTAGGGAAAGTGGGAATAGCATAGGTGCTGGTGTCATGAAGTTGGTAGGAATCTGTCCTCATGCATTGGGGTAGTCTTGAAATTCAGCACAATTTTTTTCCCAGCTACTCAGTGAAGATAATTCAGTTTTGGAAAAAACTGGTTTTGAGTGTCTGGTTAATTGCTAATGCCAAGCAAAAATGTTATATGAAGATTAAATGTGTTTTCATATCAGAGTATCTTTTAAGTTATTTGCTGTAGAAACAGAGGTTGGAATTACAGGCTGGCAAACCTATAGCAGTGAAATAAATAAGTGGCACAATTCCTCTGAAACCAAAACACCAAGTGGTGTGCTTCCCTTTTAATAAGTGGTAATGAAATTAAAGATGACAGATAATACAGCCTATAAAGTGGTGCTTTAAAGTAGCTTCAAGATGGAGGACTGAGAAATCCCAGAGTTAGACTATCAGATTGAGGCTATCTGTGTAATCTTCATTGAGTTCCTTGGGGTATAGGAGCTATGCCACAGCCTTTAATTGCATAATCACATTTATTACATCACGCTGAGAAAGGGACACTTATTTTAGACTGAAATATCCACAGAATTGTACTGTCAGACACTAAGTGTGTAAATGTGATGCCTCCATGAGTCCTGGCTCTGTGGAGAAGCCCTAGTTTTATAGCCTAGGTCCAAAGTGTGGTAGAACTGATGTAGCTTGATGAAGCAGTTGAAAGAAATGACAAGCAGACAAAGGAGCATGTTTTCCATAATTTCATACTTCTATCTTTGCCTGTTACTGTTGTTGTGTATATATCTGGCACTGTGTATAATGCTTCAGCAAAATTATAAGTCTTCAAAGTGATGATGGTATTTTATCTTAAAGCTGAACCCCTTCCACTTTTAGTTCTCGGGAGTTAAATTTGCTGCAAAATATTTAAAGCAAGATTTAGAGGGGAAATAAACACCTACCTTTTTCAACAATTTGTCCTAAATTTCTGTTAAAAAAAACTCTCCACATTTTTGTGGTGATTCAGAATTTTCATACTCCTTTTTTTTGTATGTGTACTCCTAAATATAACTTTTTCATCTGTCATACACTGGTTTCGTATTCCAGATGAACTTCCAAAAAATTAGGCAGGGTGTTTTTTGTGAACAGGGAAAGGAATAAAGTTCTATTCTTACAGGAAAAAAATTATATAAATATAAAGCACACTACATTTTTCTGACTGCCTCTAATTTCCTTATTCCTTTTTTTTTTTTTCCCAGTGATGACCTTTTCTCTCTGCCTTACTGTCCAGGGAGAACTCTGGTGGTTGGAGCTTCCTATGTTGCCTTAGAGTGTGCAGGATTTCTTGCAGGCCTTGGATTAGATGTCACTGTTATGGTGAGATCCATTCTCTTAAGAGGATTTGACCAGGACATGGCAAACAGAATTGGTGAATATATGAAAGAACATGGAATCAACTTCATTAGGGAGTTTGTGCCAATCAAGGTAGGCTCAAAGTGACTACAATTGATTGGGATGTACTCATCATAGTGTTTTAAGATGTAAATTATTGCAGTTAATACAAAAGTTGAACTTTCATTACAGTATCTGCTGTGACATAGAATGGGTTAATTTTTGTTTTAAGCCAACTCCATGAAACTTAATTAATTGAACTAATTAATCTTAATATGAAAATTTTATGAGATTATGAAATTCACTGTTTTGATCAGAATTAGTTAGGTTAGTTTATGTTACACAGAAAATGTTATACCTGCTTATCCTGGTTCTTCTTGCAGGCCCATAATTAAGCAGATACATAATTTCCTTGAAGATCAGGGCCCAGTGCATCAAAAACAATTCAATTTTTCATTGCCAATTTTCAAATTTTCAGCCAGCAAATTCTGTTTATATGCTGAGGATTAGTCGACTATCCAGAAAAGTAAATGGTCTTTAGAAGTATCATCTGTATAATTTACTTGGCAGAGTCCTTAAATACTTGCTCAATTTTTGTTGAGTTCAGTAAGAGTACTCATGCAGCTACTTACATATATTTATAGGCACGTGTGTAAGTAAATTCAGGTCGAATTTAAACCAAATTAGGAGTTCTGGAGCTTTTCTAATTTTCCAATGGAAAATCGACCTATCAAAGACTTCAGAGGGTGCTAACAGTATTTTTTTTATGTTTTTTCACCATAGTCCTTACTTATTTTGACATAGCAAATCATGTGTTAAGCAATTTCAATTTGGTGTTAAACCAGTGTGCTGCTGAGTTTAACACTTTGGGGTTTAAAATTCAGTGAAGACTGTTCATTTCCATTCTTAGCAGTATCAATAGCAGCTTTAAAAATGCTCTTGCCAGTTGGTACTGCGAGTCTGAGCATCTCTCACAGAATGAGAGTTGCTGTAAGAAGACAAAATGGATCTTTCCAGGAACTTAGTTTTTATGCAAGTTTTTGTTGCATAAATCCCATGCTGTATGAAAAGTAGGGATGATTATCTAGGTTTTGTTGCAGACATGGCCTTTTGTAAGCCGTAATGGGGAATGAGAAAGAAGGAAGCTGTGTTTAGAAGCAGATAATTTCAACTAAATGGCAAACAGGCTCCTCCAGACGCATCCTGTGATAAGCAGTTCGTCGCCACCATCACAAAATGCATTTCTGTGTATTTTGCCCTGTCCCGTCATTATATGTCTTTGATTTCAATGGGAATAAAATATTTGGCCCTGTTTCTGATTGAGAATATCCTTCAGCTTAAGTTGCTTGGTAGGTTTTTAGCAGGTTTTCTCATCTCTTTCAGACATTGTGTTTGAAGTTATGCATGTTGTGCTTATTAAAACCCTTTGTTGGGACTTTTGAAGGTAGAAGTTGAATTATTATAAATAATGTTGCCTTTGAATAGGAGCAGTTTAGCACAGTGATCCTTTAAGGTTGGTAGGATGGCACAGTTGGCTTTTCTAAATATAAATAATGGACAGAAATAAAATCTTTATCAGAAACTTTGCTCTTTCTGCCTCTAAATATTGAACATGAAGTAGGAACAAGGGTGTTGTTGAAAAGTACCTTTTCATCTGTAGGATGAACACTAAAATTTCCCAGAATTATGTTAAGTGTTGCACACTTACATGTCTGTTGAATGTACTGATGAGGCTTTTCTATGACAGTAGCTTCCCATGGGTGGAGGGAATGATGCCAGCACTTAGAGAAAATGTCTAATGGTGTTTCCTTCCTACTTGTGTCCTCTGTCCCCACAGGAATGAGGGCATATGTCCCCAGGTCATGTGATGGACTTGGACAAGAACTTAACCATGAGACCACTTTTAAAAACAGAAATGACATTTTGTTTTCTTGGTCATAAAAATAAATGTAGGGACATAAAAAACCACATTAAAATATGCAAGTAGAAATGTAAAGAATTTTTAGAGTGCCTTATTTTAGATCATGGTTAAAATTCTCTCAATGATATTTGGTGGGAAAACATAGATTGGTATATTTTTATATGAAACTTTTTTTTTTACCCTATCCAATCCCCAAATTGTTGTAGGTTGAGCGGGTTGAGGAAGGAACTCCTGGAATACTGAAAGTTACAGCCAAATCCACAACAGGGGATCAAATAATTGAAGTGGAATACAATACTGTGAGTCCTGTCTGTATGCATGAAGCATGTGAAATAGTCTTCCATTAAATGTCGATATTTTGTGGGGTGTTTTTATCCACACATTAGATTTTTAAAAACTATTTTAGTCATTACAATATGCTAATTGCACACACTCAGCAGGTAATTAATCTGGAAATAAAAGTCCCCAAATCAATGGTTATTTTGCCTTCGCAAATCAGTTTGCATGCTTTTGAAACCTATTTCTTAGCTTAGGGGTGTAGATGAGCTTGGTCCTGTGGCATCAGTTGCAGGATTTTTTCCCTGTGAGATATTTGTAATAAATTATAAGTAATGATTTATAATAGCTTTCATAGTGATTAGGGCATGTTTTGTTGTTAGCTCAAAACAATGGTCAGTACAGGAGTTAAACAAATGCATGACATGTCATCTCAAGACCTGTTCTTGACACATCTTCACAAACACAGCAAATGCCCTGTGGCAAGTCAGTCAGGAAACGTCGTTACACACTTAAGACAGTAAAATTGTAGCGTGCAGGCATGGTATTGTATGTTTGATTGACTGTTTCCATCACACCTCACTCCACTCATTTTCATCGGCCTTGATGCTGAAAGGAGAAAAAAAAAATTGTGAATAGAGTATTTGGAACCACACAGAATGCATAAAGACAGGCCTTTGCCAGCCTGGGACTTCAGACTGCAAATACTGTGTGCCAGTGACCTCGTTTAGCTGTACAGTGCATCAGTCATCCCCTATAAAGGGCACACAGTGCATCTGGGAGCCAATACTCTGAGAAAGTTTAACAATGACAGCAGGCTGTTTTACAGGATTGTAATACTGGGGTTTTTCTAGTCCATAATAGTGAAAGCTTATTAGGAAGGAAATCAATTCCATCCTTTTATTAATGAAACTTCTGGTTTCTTGTTACTACATCATCACTGAAATGCTGTCACTCCTCATAGAAGCTGAGAGCTGTGTGTGCTGCATTATAAGACCTTCAGCTCTAAAGATGTGGTGTGTTTGATCATCTGTAAGACTTGAAGGAGATCTTGGGATTCCTTCAGGACAGTTCTTAGTTGTCATATGAAAAGCATTGTTAGTTATCCGGGCAGTTGTCCAAGACTACAAAGCATGTAGCAATTTTCCTTGTGATAGCAGAAGTTGGAACACGATTTATTAAGTTAGCAGAGTTGATAGGATGGGATTTCAGCCTTGACAAATGTTCAAACAAATAATATTAAAAAAATAATATTCTTTGGGAGTGGTTGACTGAGAGCCTATATAAGTAAATTATATTTTCAGATAAAAATATTATTTTATGATATTTTTATTTGCTTAAGCATCTGAGTTTCTTTCTTAAAGAGCCCTTTCCTTATGGAGCATTTTGAGGTCACTTGCTCTGGTAAGGATTCGGGATAATATCTTGGTGTAAAATTTCCTTGGTGTAAGGAAATAAAGAATCTGTCCCTAACTGATTGGTTTAGAATATTCTTGGAGTATTCCTCAAGGGAAAGCTATTTGCCTGGTTTTAATATTAGCATTAAAACCTGGTATTGTTAGGTCATGGTGGTAACATGGCTTGTCATAAACTCTATGAATGTACAATGGATAACAAATGTATTCACCTTACTGTGACCAAGCTTTAGATACTAATCCCTAGTGTATATATAGAAGATAATAGCCAAAGAAAATGCACTTTTGGGTTTCTAGAAATCAGTCATGTGCATTGCTGTTTCGCAGATGCTACTGGCAGTTGGACGAGATCCGTGCACAAGAAAAATTGGTTTGGACAAAGTTGGAGTGAATATCAATGAAAGGTAAGGACGGATGTCTGTGTACCACTCGCTGCTGAGTTTGTGTCATGTGCTGCCACAATGGTAGTAGTGCAGAAACACCCAAATCTTTGAGGAAAATTTTGTTTTTTGTTTCTGTACACTTGGATGGGAGAACATGTAGCAGATAGCTACATTTTCTCCCATGGTACTGCTACATTTGCTTTTTTGTTGCTGAAATGTCAATTTCTAATTCCTGGGAGAAAAAAGTGTCTATTTCATTCTTTCTAGATTTACAGGTCCATCTTAGCTTCTTCCAGCCACAGGGTTTTCTAGGATCTGTCAGTTGTTCCTTATACTTTCTTTTTCTCATCTTCTTGCTTTTGTCACCTCTTGGAACAAAAATCTGTTCATTCATACAGGCTTTTAGAGCAGTGAGTTTTGTTCAAATTTTAATGTAAAAGCTACTATATGTTATTTTGAAAGATAAGGTTCAAGTAGCATTCCTTAAACTCTCACATGAAATTCTTGATGTGTTTTAGGTTTTGGAGGGCTTTATTTCTTGGCTTTAATCAACCCTTGGATACAATCTGTGTCTTCTATGGAAGAGTACTTGATGTTAAATGTAGTGAGGTTGTTGTACCAGGGAGCGGAGCTATCAGTAACGTTTTCAATATTGGTAACTAAAACATCTTGCAGGAATGTGGGTCCTCAGAGATCTTCCCTTTGAAGTGAAAACAAGGGACCATGACCCTGACCAATGCAGAGTATTTATATATGAATGCAGCAACTGATGTTGTCAAGGGGCACAATGTGATATTTCAAATAAGTGGTCCACTCAAAATTGGCAGATCCATGTTGGTTTGTAGAGCAGTACACATCTTTCTGATGTCAGGACACCTATTACTAGCTTAATAGAATGAACTATAAAGATATTAGCATAAAGTGTATAATTTTTAGTGAGTGCAAAATTGAGGAAGTTGGATTTTTAATATGGGAATTGCTGCTGGTTTCTCAAGTAACTGTGTTTCTGTGTCTGTCTGATTAGGTTTCCCTGTTACATGTGTTTCCTGGGGTGATTACTGCACTATTTCATTTATTGATGAAGTAGGAAATATTAATAATTAAAAACTTCCATTAGCTCAGTGCACTTACATCTAAAAAGCTTGCTGTCTGTTCCTTAGGTAGGGTATGTACCAGCTTGACTTGTTTCTGTGTAGAAGCCTGAAAAATAAGTTTCTATAAAAAGCTTCAGCCACTGGACTGAAATTTCAGTAGTGGAAAAATTGTTTTGTCCTACAAAAGGAGTGGGAAAATGTCTCTTCCTGTCATTCCTGAAAGTTGCCAGTACACAGTTCAGCTGGTGGTAGAAGGTGTTTCAGGAAGAGGTTTCTGCTTCACCTCAGTGATTCAGGAGATGAATTGCAGCTTCTGAAGCTACCTCCTTGTCCAGTGTGTGAATTCCTGTAGTTTTGGTCAAATTTGCCCTATTTTATATTCCTGCCCGAGACTGTAAGTTTATGAATATGAATTCTTCATACTTCACATACAAGTCTTTCTCTTAAAGCTAAGGGGCCTGCAAGGTTATTTACACCTCCAGCCTTCACAGCAGAAGACTTGGATCTTTTTCTTGTTAATTCCAATTGCAGAACAGGAAAAATTCCTGTCAATGATGAGGAGCAGACAAATGTTCCGTATATCTATGCTGTTGGAGATATCCTGCAGGACAAGCTGGAACTCACACCGGTGGCAATCCAGGCAGGAAGGTTGTTAGTTCAGAGGCTTTATGCTGGGACAACCACTAAGGTAAGGAACCAGTCTGCTTGCTTGTGGAAAACCCAGTAGAATTTTAAGGATTAGCTTTGATGATCATTTTCATTTTCCCCTGGCAAAGATATTACTGCAGATATGTTTGGCTAAGTGTGTAGGATGAAATTAATACCTTGTGGATTAAGCAGTAGTATCTTTTTTTCCTATTAAGAGGGTTTCGTTTTCTCTCAAAGTACAATGATAATGAAATTAACAGAGATCATTTAACTTGTTTTCAATTCTACTGCCTTCCTTAAAAGTCATCAATCTTTCCCATCCTGTTAAATGCTTTAACACTAATTCAAAGGCAGTTTGCTGAACCTACCTATGGTCCCTAAATAGAGTGGAATAGGAGTTTGTGATCTTAATTTTCAGTCTTATTTTAATGATTTTTTTTCGTTTCTCATCTGTATGTTTTCAATGTAATATGCAGTCCCAATTGTAGTTGAATGTGGACACAAAGGAAGATGACATGTACCAGTAACTCAGCACATGTTTATACCTGAGTAGTTGAATTAATGGATTCAGTGTTCATGTTTTGTACTAGTGCAGTTCTGGGTTTCAGCCAGGTTACGGTTTTTCAAATGGGAGTAATGTGGGTACTCATTTACACCTTATGTTTAAACCAGAAGGAAAGGAGAGTGTCTTTAAAGAAGTGTTACACTGATATGGGTACTTGTCTCACCTTCATAACCATATGGCATGACCATAAAGGTTTATCCCTTTCAGAGCCTGCTGTATTCATAGCAAGTTCAACTATCAGCCAGATTTAGAGCATGATCGAGTTGTTTGTTTTACATTGGCAGTAACAGAACCCTGAATCAGTGCACATAATGTCATTGAAATAGCCAGACAAGGTTTAAGAAACTGTAGCAGAAGCCAAATATTTTTATTGCTGCAATGCTATGGATATGTCTTAATTTACATTTTATGCTAGATAAGTCTGTCAAGGTACAAAAATTGCCGTGCTGCCAAAGGAAGGATTCTTATTCAGTGAATCCAAGAAACGAGTAACTACTTTAAAAAAATGGGAGTGTGGCTCATACTACCTTTGTAACAAATCTGGAGAAGGTGATTGAAATATAATGAGGTGTTATGGATAGGTGGGGCAAGAACAGTAGTCAGCACCTTAGTTGATCCCCAGTCACAAAGGAAATTAATTAGAGTTGAAATATGTAGAAAAGAAAATTGCTAGACATGAAATAGAGCTGACCGGCCTGCTAGTCTGCTATAGCAGAATGACTCATTTGGTGTATATGGGAAGAGCAGAGTATGTTTGTTTATTTTGAGTCTAGTGAAAGCTTTTGACACTGCCTCTATAACATTGTCATGGACAAAGGGATGAATTGCAGGCTGGGTAAGTGGGCAGTGAGGTGGGTTGAAAACTGGCTGAACAGACAAGCTTAAAGGCTCAGCATTCCAAAGACCAGCTGAAGGCCAGTCCCTGGTGGTGTGCCACAGGCTTGGGCTTGGTTCCAGTGCTGTTTAACAGCTAATGGATCTGGATGCTGAGAACAATGCTCAGGAAGTTTGGAGATGATACAAAACTGGGAGAAGTGACAAGTTTTCACTGTTCCCCCAGATGGTTGTACTACATGTGATTGGTTTTTCGGCATCACCTAGGCCACAGCTGATGAAAAATGAGTTTTGAATGGTAGTGGTGCCCTTGCAGCATCTCCAGCTAAAAATGGTATGCTTCCTAGAAGTGGTTGAACAGGCAATTTTTATGTCCAGTTTGGCCTGTGCTCTGGTATATTTGTTAAATAGGGCACTGAATTTCCTTTTCCATTTAATCAATGCCTACTAATGTTTGAGTGGCTTTAAGCTGTCTTTTTTTTTTCTTGCTCTAATTAGCACCTCTGTAATGAACAAACAAAAAACTGTACCTTAATTTAAGACAATTAAAAAAAAAAAAGAGCTTTGAGAATTGGGAATAATCAAGCTTTTCTTGCTGTATTTCAGACTACTGTATGCTGATTTTATTACTGATGTTGTGTGGGTTTTCATTTTGTTTTGAATGCCATACAGTGTGACTATGTGAATGTTCCAACTACTGTATTTACTCCTTTGGAGTATGGAGCCTGTGGGTACTCTGAAGAGACCGCAGTGGAGAAATTTGGGGAGGAAAATATTGAGGTAAATGCCTTAATTTCACCTGGGTTTTAGTTTTCCAATTTGTAATTTAAAATAATATTAAGAGTAAATTAAAACAGCATTTTGTGCTCTGATGTAAGGACAGGAGGTGACTAGGTACATGTTTTGTCTTCCTTGGCTGTTCCTAGACATGTTATAAAAATAATGTTCAATTCCAATAGCTCTAATTGCAGGTATGTTCTATTTTTGGCAAAAGGAGGCTTAAAGGTGGAGTGTTTGGTTTAAAAAAAATTAGAAAAAGGGTTTGCATGTGTCTGAAAATACTTCAGGATAATTTTAAACTGGATATATGCTGGAAACAATACACTGGTTTTAATGGCAAAGTGGAGCTTTTTTACCTACAGCATGGCAAATTTCTTACCATAGTGATTTTTACTTTATAAAGCCAAATGTTAGCTCATTTTCCTGTTTCCTTTGACTGTACAAAGAGGTATGTGCTTAATTATACTCATGTGAGTAATCCCTTTTCATTCCCTGGGATTGCTGGTCAGGAGTGAAATTAGACAAATACAAGCACTTAGTGTCTGAGGCTGTTCTTCCAAAATGCTGTACTGACCACATTACAGAAAGCATGAGGGGAGGAAATCTCACAATAAACTGAACTTTTATGTCCTGCAAATATCACCTGAGGAGCATTATTTACAGAAATAAGCAGGTAAGTGGTAGTGCATGAAGTTGAGAACTTGTCCCCCTCTTAGCTGACTTTTTCCGATTTGAACTGTGGAGGAAAACAAGTAAATAAAACTCAAAATAGCAGTGTGAAAAATACTGTAAACCTGATCACAGGGCAAAGTCTTAGACTCTTTTCTCCCTGCAAAGTTTGTATATACCCAGGCAAATTTTTGTTGTTGAGTGAAATTCTTGGTGTTATATGTGAAACACTGGACCATTTATTCTTAAAAAATGCACTTTTGATTTTGAAAGCATTTTATTTTTTGAAATATGCACACAGAAGCATTTGTGCTCTGGCTAAGTCCTCATTTAATGTATTCTGACCTCTTTATTGTGTCACCTTATTGGCTTTTGCAAGGTTTTTGCAAGCCTCAGTAAGATTATTGAGTCACTTGTAATTTTGTAATTTAATAAGAACACAGTGAACTGTGTAATATTCTGGAAGTGTAATGTTCTTATGGCTTCTCATTTTTAAATTATTGGATGTCACTAGTACTTGGTTTATAGAGACTTCTGTCTTTGGCATTCATTGAGGGAAAAGAGTATCATCATAATTTCAGGTGTTCTAAATGCTGTGTACATAGCTCATTATTTAGGATAATCGGGCAGCTTTTGGAAGATCATGTTCTCTCCTTGGAAATTTTACGACTCTTTTTTAACCTGTGTTTTATTTCCAGGTGTACCATAGTCATTTCTGGCCACTGGAGTGGACTGTACCATCCAGAGATAACAACAAATGCTATGCAAAGATAATTTGCAATACTCAAGATAATGTAAGTTATCCTTAACGTAAGTTATTTCCTTCCTGGGAAAACAATATCTAAATGTTTATCATAAAACTGTTGATGACACAAGAGCTATAAATAGGTTGTTTTTAACAAATTAAAATGAATTTAAATTTGCCTACCTTTTGAAGTGTAATAAATATTTATAGTGATGCATATTTCTGTGTATACAAAACCAATTCCCAGTAAAATACAAAATTCTGCCATTGTTATTTGTATATGATACTTCTTCCATATATGTAAAATAAGAAGTAGAGATCTTTAAGACTGTTGATTAACTTTGAGAAGAGAGCAAATCAATGTATGTAAAAAGGGTTAGGAATTTTATTGGTTTATTCTCTCTGCCCCAGACTTGGACATTCTCTACTGGGAGACTCTTCTCTCTGAAATTGAGGTCTCTCAGAAACTATCACAACTTGTAACCACTCCAAATTCGCATGTGTTCATAAAATTCTTGAGCTTGTTATAACAGGATAATGTATCTTCCCTGCACAAATCCCATTTAGGATGATAATACCAGAATTATCCTTGGACTAGGATCAAATTTCCTGGCCATGGAAATTATCAGTACCCGCTGAAGCAAAAGCAAAACTAGTAATTGGTTAGAAGAATTGGTGTGGCTATCTTAGAATGATAATCATCTGTTCAATAAACTGTAGTTGATTTTATTATTATAAATTATTATGAAGAGTAATATTCTATTAAAATATATTCCTGTTAAGATGGTAGCATATCTGTCCTATGAGAAAAAACAAAACTAACTTAACTTATATTCATCTTTCTTAGATACAGATTTTTCTTTCTGCCGTCTTTCTAAGCATCTTGTCAACATTTTGTAAAATTTGCACACCTGTCCATCTCCTCTTTCTGGAGGAGTTTGCAGTAGTGTGGAAGGTATTTTAGAGCCTTTAGCTATGCTCTAATCCAGAGTCACTTAAGAAAATGCAAAGATTTAATGGTGATTTAAAGTGTTTCGTTAATTTATTTTCACTCCTTGTCTTGAAAACTTGAAATGTGTTTAAACATCTAGGTGTAGACTTGAAAGTTACCCTGGAAAAAAATAATAGTTCAGTAACTATTTAAATCTCTCATTGCCTTGGTTTCATTGCTATGGTTTTATTTTGACATATGTCAATATTTCTAAAGGAAAATTAAGATAATTCCATTTTACTTATTACCTGATTAGAGCTTTTCTTATTTAAATAAACCCTGTGGTAAATCTCAGTCCTCAGATTTACTGAAAGAATAATAACCTTTCAGTAGTATTCACTATACCCAATATATGTGATATTTAGCAGGAAGAGCAGATAACTTTTGATACTCAGCTGAGCTATATCTATGCTCACCAAAAACTGATGAATTTCCTGAAGGCCACTAAAGCTCACAGCAAGTGATGTGCTAAATTTTCATGTTTCTCTCATTAAGAAACGCAGGTCAAGTCAGTACAGCTTGTTCTGCTGGATGTTTTCTGAGGGTGTATGTGCAGTGTAATGTGTTCTGCAATTGAACAGGAGTATAGAGAGGAAGAGTGTGAATGGTACCTTCCTTGTAACTGGATGGGTTTTTTGCCAGTCTCTAAGTGTATTATCTCCCACTGAAAACCAACACTGCCACAAGAGTCATTGACAGTTCAGTTAGAATAGACTTCTTGCCGTGTCTGGTTGGCCACAACTTCAGCTTGTGGTCCTTTTCTGTGAACAACTATCAAACTGAAAATTCTTCAACAGATACAGACCCTGTAGCCACCTACCGCAGGCCCTCATACTGGAAACCTTAATGCAGGGTGCTCGCCTTTCGTTAGGCAAATGTTCTGTTGGCATGAGTGGAATAACTCACCTGAATAAAATCTCCTGAGTTCCTAGTTGAATCTTTGGAGAGAGAGAACTAAATTACGTGGCCGCACATCTGTTGGTGCAAATTATAATTCATATTTTAGTGGTTACATTAATTTGTGATACATTTTGTGAGCTGATTAAATTATATACTCTGAATAAGAAAGCTTTACACGTTGTCTAAAGAGAACTGAATTCTTGATTGTGCTTGAATTTGATTGTCTTTGACATTTAGGAGAGAGTCATTGGCTTCCATGTCCTTGGTCCAAATGCTGGAGAGGTCACCCAAGGGTTTGCAGCTGCTATTAAATGTGGGTTGACAAAAGAACAGCTGGACAGCACCGTAGGAATTCATCCTATCTGTGCAGAGGTTTGTATACAAAGTCACCTCAGAGCCCAGCTTTCATGGCATTCTGGGGTAAGGTGTTAGAAATCTGAATAACGGAGCTCTGTTAAAGAGGTCCAAATTTGCAGGAAGGTGGGGGGAGGAAAGGAGAGGAAATTATCTGGTTTTATATTTAGAATTCTAACACTTAGGCTTAGTCTGGGATTTTTTAAATTGTTTTTTAAAAATTGTGTTCATTTGTGAAAAGTTTATGCCTTCCCTTAATCCAATTCTCTCTCTACTGGGACGTATAGAATTTTTATCCTACTCAAGATTATGAAGGCTTCAAATACTATTTCTGCTAAAGCTAGATTAGTGCACCCAAAATAGGCTTACAAACTAGTGGTGGGAAAGGGGACCAGTTACATGACAATTTTTCTATTAAACTCCCTCCTCTTAAAGATCTCTTCCTTATCCTGTAGGCTTTCAATTAAGGAAGCCACACAAGTATTTCTACTTTTTATCTTGCTGTTCCTCTTGAATGAAGAGCTCAATTTTCTCTAGCAGGTGTGGAACAGCTCCTTCCAGATGTAAATCAGAGATTGATTTTAGTAGCATTAGGACCAGTTTATATTAGCTGAGGATCCCTGAAAGCTTTTTTATGACCTGTGTAAGTCTTCATACAGAGTCTCTGGTTGTGTTAGAAGTAAAGCAGTACAAGGGAGCACCAGAATGCTCCTCTGCAGAAGTGGCATCCACCTCTCTTCTTTCCTACTTTCTAGGTGATTTAGTAAAAGCAACGCAATAAGGACTTCATTAATGGACTGCTAGCAATCTAAATCCTCTACAAAACATCCACAATATATTCTGTTCTTTGTAGTACCATTTAATGGTATTCTTGGAGGCCCTTGAAGAGGGCTAGCAGGTCCTTGTCTTCCCAGGGGGCCTGTGGAGGGCAGCATTCAAACCTGTGAACTCAAGTGGGGTATTAGCATATGCAGTGTGAAGAGAGGATGAGAGTCATAATTTATTCTGGACATCTGAGCTGCTAAAACAGAAACTGAATAGAGTGATGATTAGACATAATTCAGGGAGGTAATTTCAGATAATCAGATTTGTTTGAATGGGGGAGGAAGAAATTGGCTCAGGAAAAATATGTATTGAAAAACTCCAGGAAACGCTGATCATTTTTAGTGACAGTCTTCAAAAGGGTTTTTTATGCTTTTACTTAATTTAATCTCTTGAGCAGTAAATAAAAATCAAAGTGCAAGATGGCACTCTTTGATTAGAAAAATGCTTGAAAACTGGGTTTGTGAGAAATGAGCATATTGGATTAATAGAATGATGGATAATATCACCGTTATCTTTGTTACATCCCTGTAAAAGTTAAAGAAAATGAAGTCTATTTGAACAGGAAGGACCAGTGTTACAGGGTCAAGTGCTGACATCTTCACTGTCACTAGTACTAATTAATTGCTGAGTCTCTTGTGAAACATGGTTTTATTCCACTTGAAGAAAACCTTAAGACTGAGGGTCCCATTTTCACTGTCTATGAATTAGAGCCAGATTTTCCTTCTCTTCTTGAAGCAGCATTTTCTTCAGCAGAAAACAGGAGCTCAGAATGGAATTTCTTGCAAGGTTGAGTGCAAATAACTGCAAGCACAGAACTGGTAGGACCTCAGCCCTACAGAGAATTACATCTCAGCCTCAACTGCACTGTGCTGCCTGAAATTCAGGGGGGTACTATTGATCATCTGTGATGAAGAGAAATTGTGTCCTGAAAGCTGGGGTGATTCTTCCAGGTAGCTAATGATGGCTTTCCAGCCATTGGATCTAAGGTTTTGTCTTCCCTTAAGTAAAAAACAAATTCTATCTAAAATACTTGTTTCCAACAATTTTCAAATTACTCCATCTGGCTTACTAGGGAGCAGTGTGGTCCCCTCCCGCACCTGGAGGTTGCAGTCTGGCCAGGAGGAAAGCAGATAAATTTTGTGGTTTTTAATCTTGGTCTTTTGAAATGAAATAACAATAAATGAAGACTCTCATATGTTGTCAGGCTGTGGATCAGAAATGAAGTCTACAAACCCCTCTCTCAAAACATGCACTATGTTTTAGATAAGTCACTGTTCTTATGCCATATACATTAGATATGCATTTGTCTTCCTGATTTGTGGATAATGCTTTATGTGCTTATAGAAAGTGGAAGAGGTTTATCATTTATTGATGTTGTCCTCTGAAGACCTGCTAGCAGTCCTAATGCAGCAAAACTTCTACTTAAAGAAATATAAGTCTTTCTGATCCCCGTTATCTTTAGATACTTCAATGTTATTTGTATAGCTGAAACGTGTATGTACTATATTCTGTGCTAAGTTTATTCTTCCTGAGAGATAGCTCTGATGATAACTAATTATTGCAACTCTGGAACATTTAGATAACAGTGGTTTTGATTTCTGTTTTTCCTTTCTATATTGTATGTATGCAAAACAATGCAATTATTTGCATAGTAAAGTACCAGTATTAAGCAAATGTTTGTAGAATTAATTTTCCTTCCCAAATTCTAATCTGTTAATTTTACAATAATTATTTAGGAATAATATTTTTTTTTAATGTGACTTGAAAGCAGTAAAGTCTGGTATTTTTCAAACTAGTTTTACTCAGTGTTCCCATAACTGTTGTCAAGAGAACACAGATACCAGACATAATGTCTTTATCAGCAATCACTTCCATGTTTTTATAATGGCTAGAAAGGCACAAAGGCAAAATTCTCTCCAAATGCCCAGGCCTTGAGTTAACTTCACTTTCCCCAACAAAGAAGTTTTCTTTGAGCCATAAAGACACTTATTCATTAGGTGTACTGGAGTCTATTATTGCTGAGCTTGTTCCCACTGTAAAAACTTGGGGGCATTAAGATGAGAAGTGGTATAAAGCCATGTGACTTCCTTAATTCTTTCTTTTCCACTGTAAAAGGAAGAACATAAGTTAAATGAAGAGAACAGAAGTAATTTGTGTGTGCTGTTTAATGACAAGGATTTTAAAAGTAGGACTTTCATTATTTTCTTACTTTAAGAATTGGCTCCGATTTTGAGCATCATGCCCAGTTTAATCTTCCAGGAAAAAAAAGTAAATTTAGCTGTGCTGAGAATCTTCTTTCTTCTTTGTCTCAAGGTATTCACCACTCTGTCTGTGACTAAGCGTTCTGGTGAAAACACCACTGTGAGTGGATGCTGAGGTTAAATTCCCCCATAATTGCTATTGCCAGAGACTGACTTTCATCACAGTGTCTGACTCCTGCAATTCAGAAGATTTTGGGAGAAGTTGCCCTTGGACACCTGCAGAAATGTGTAGAGCTTAACCTGGACATTCCATCATCTTAGTGAGAAGAGCTCTGTGGGAGTTGGTTACTTGTGGTGCCTGGCTGGCAATTAGCAATACAATGGGAATCTGGACTGCTGAGTTGCTGATTAGCAGGGCATTTAATAAATGCCTTCATGAAGTCATAGCCTGAAGCCTGCATTGTCTGGTGGGCAGTGATGGAAGAACTGCTAGCTGGAAAACAGCTGTTTTGGTTTGGCTTTATTCCTCTCTAGTTTCTTTCATGAACATTCCTTTCTAGTTCTTTCCAGAACAAAGAACTTCCCACCACAGAAAAATTCCTCCCAAGTTCAGGTAGTTGTATCAGATAAAACAGTTCCTTTGTTCTGAATCATGACACACAAATGCAAGGTCTCCTCATGAGCATACATTTTACCAGCTCACGTGCCAATAGAGGGCAAGTTCTACTTATTTGATCATGAGGAAGAAAATAGCCTTGGAAAAAAGTTTAGTACCACTTAAAATAACATATTTCTTGTATTCCAAACTGACTATGTTGTGACTTTTCATTTAGAGAGCCTTATTTGTGAAAACATTCTTCTCAATGAGAAAGGAAAATAATTTATGAAGGCCTTTTGATACAGAAAGTTGCTGTGTTTCTTCCCTGAAATCATGCATATAATGCAGATGTGATGATTTTAGCTCTTTCTCAAGCTTATGTGATTATAATGAATCTGATTTGGAGCTGACAGAATTCCAATGTTGAATGAACTGTCCTTCCAAGAACTTCGTGCAACTTCATTAAATTTGAGTAAATTTCTTTCTTTCCAGGTGAGCTGTCATAAGCTGCACTGTTTCAGGTCTCAAATGGCCACTTTGAACACAAAAGTATTGAGATTTCCTGGAGATTAATGAACCCTTAGGATAAAAAAAATTATGCAACCAAACAATACCCCCCCAAAACAACTATGCAAACAAACCCTCCAGCCAAACTCCAAAAACCAGTAGTGAAAAATCTGTTATGTATAAATAGGGTCTAAAAGTTCTATTTAGTTCAATGTGTGCTATGTTTTATATTTAATTAAGAAAACAATAGTTTTAAAACAGAGGTTTCAGTGAAAATACCAGATTCTTGAATATCCCTCCTGTGTTGGATAAGCTGCATATTTACTTGTCAAGAAATGGCAAAAGTGGTTCTTTGTAATGGAGATGAATGTGTTTTTTTGATCTGTTTTTCCATTTCCCTCTCTTTTAGCAGAAAGATTTGGATTACTTTTATTAAATGGTTCTTGGGAGTTCAGTAGTGCAGTGTGAACAGGGGGTAAATTCCCCAGCCATGTGGGCAGAATGCCTCATGCCTAAATTCCTACCTGGTAACAAATTCTTGTATTTCTACTGAGATTTCTGAAATAGTGTTGTTAGTTATTTTTATAAACCCGTACATAACTGAAGAATTTTTAAACGTGTTTTGTATGGTATTTGGAAGGGTCTGTGATGGTATTTTTCTGGCCAGTTTAATAAATAAATCCATTTGCACAATCAGATGGTCCTTGTGATGCCTCTTCCAAGCAGACACCCGGTGACAGCAAGGCGACTGTTTTTCTAAGGGCCAGAAGAGGGCACCGTGATAAACCCAGCTTGATTTGCCTTTGTCTTTTGCACTTTGAGGGTAGATATTTCTCTTAAAAACAGGGTTTGGGGCTGTTTCATGAACATTTGTTTTGCATGTTAAATATTTCAGAAGGACATACTTAAAAATAGAAGATAATTAGGAAACAAATCTTACACTATTTGCACCAGCTGCCATCCATGTCACTTCTGAAAACCCAGGAGTGCCGGTTCCTGAGCTGCTGGGCAGTATAGCTGCTCATATTTAAGCACATGGATATCAGCATTTTCAGGCAGATGTCTAAGAGAGGTTCTGGAGATCAGGATCCTTTATTTCCTGGAGGGAATAAAGATATGTATGAGCTTGGCTTTGCAAGGCTAGACCTACACATATCTATTCTTGGGTTGTGTCATCATTTATGATGCATGTTTCTACACTGGGCTTAATTACTTCTATTTTTACTTAAAATTTAAAATTGTGAGACTTTTTTTGGTGGAGTTTTTTCCATTAATCCTCCATAAGGAAGACATTTTCAGGTGTGTATTTATGTAATCTGTGCATGATGATACAGTATATAATATATTATATAATTATTATTATATAGTAATATATTATCACATAAGGATTTATTAAATGCCAAAGCTAAGCATTCGGTGTTTTTTATCAAATTAAGCATGCTTGGGGTAATGCATGCTTTGGAAGCACATACTAGAAAATTCACTAAGCTAATCAGTATTTATGTTCTGCTTGTATTGATTTGTAATTAACATTTTCGGATGCTCTTACATGAGGGTTGAAATCATCCTCAGATACTATAGATACAAATGTTGACAGGAAATTTCACAGATTTGAATAGGGAATTTAATAGAGTTTCACTGACAGCTCACAGATTTTTTTCTTTTTTACCCCTCTCCCCTTGGTGTGAGTCATCTGAGCAATCCCAACTTTTCTGTAAGTTTTGTATTCCAACTTGCATCCCACTTTCCCTCCTTTGAGCCCTGCTGCCTGTCCAGAACCCCAGTGCAGAAGGCTCCCTTGCTGTGGAGCTGTAGGCTGCCAGACACGGTGGATTTTCTGGACATGCCGTGAATGCTGGAGATTTCGTGACAGGGTCTTGCTGTGCCGTGTGGGATGACCTTGCACTCATAAAGCCTGTTACTGATCTTACCTCTGGCTGTGCCAGAAGGAACCACATGGCGGAGTCTTTTACACAAGACTTAATAGACACCTTTCAGGTCAAAATAGGGTATAAATGTTTGTGGAAACTGTCAGCCCTGCCGAGAGTGACTGTTGCCGTTCATCTGGGGGGAGGCTCCCCAGGGAGTCCCTGGTGGGCCACCTAAGCTGTAAATTCCCTCATAGCAGCAGGCAGGCAAGGAGACTCCAGGCAGCTTCTGAGGGTGCTAACTAGGTGAGAGTATATTGGGAGTCTCAACCCTGGGAGCAGCATGGTTTCTAAGGGGGAAAGGGGGAGAGATGGAGAGCCTAGGGAGAAAAGGGGCCAAGAGAGAGCAACGGGCTAAGAGGGCTCCCTCGAACAGCTTAACAGGGAGATTCAAAGTGGGCACGGAATAAGACTTGGGCCAATGGGATTACAGATCAGAGGAGGATCACAGGCTTGGAACAAACTGTACATTTTCGAGGGGTCAGACAGAGCATACCATTTAACTAAAACGTAACATCACAAGTGATGTTTCAGAAGCCCGTTCTCTTTGATGATCGGCTTTTCTGATTGCTCAGTTGTCTTCAGTGTGGGATGATGTGAGACTGTTCTTGCCAAGGCCTGCTTGGCCTCCAGAGAGAAATTAAACCTGAAAAGTACAAAGAAAAAACCTAGAAAGAAGGCACCAGGGGATCTGCCACACCACTGGTCTCCCTTCTTTATGCACAAAATGGCAAAATGCTCCTGAAATATTTCCATCCTGGAGGCGACCATTTGTGCCTCTGGGGTTTTGGTTTGGGTGCGGCTGGTGGGGGGTGGGAGTAGAACAAGGGCTTTGGCATCTATCAGGAAGGGTTGCCAGTGTGGAAAGGCAAAGACACAGAGCAAGTCACATGCTGTGATGGGTATCAGAGGGCTTGGGGTGGGGGTGGTGGTGGTATGGCTGACAGCGCTCCCAAGATTCCATGGAGCTTGGGAAACGCAGGAGGGCCTCTGTAGTGAGGGGCTGTCCTTCAGCTGGGCCCATCCTACAGGGTCCTGTGGGAGCTTGCAGATCTAAATATGTTTGTTTTCCTTTTATTTGCCAAACGCTCTTGACAAATTCTGTTGTGCAGAATTTGACTTTACACATATGATATCTTTTTCATTCAATTGTTCTTTTTATGTCTCTTTTCTAGAAGCTAGAAATCTTCCTAATTACAGACTTGTCTGAGGGAGTTCTCCCAGTGCACTTCTGCATCTTAACATCATGAAAAATGTTGGCACCAAGTGGGGTGTATATCAGGACAGAGAGGGCAGGCTTTCCTTTCCCCTTGCAAACCTCTGTGACTGACCCTGCCCAGCACCACCAGTGACTCCTGACCTACCCCATCAAGTTGGCTGACCATCAGGTGCCAACAAGGGATGTTTTTCTGCCAAGAAGGCCGTGATGGGACCACACTCCTTGAGTGAGCCCATTCCCTGCTGCAAGTGGCCATCATGAGCCCAAAGAAGTATGCATCCCCTTCTCTAGACTGCAACAGAAGCTAGCGTAGGCCTATAGTGACAAATCTGCCACTAAATCCCAGATCCTTCCTTCCTCTGTATATACTTGTCTCATCAAGTGATTCTTTCCATAAAAATAGGGTTTATCGTAGGTTGGGCAAAGAATAAATTAAGCTCTGCCCTTTTCACCTGCTTTCAAAAATAAATGGTAACACATTTAGCCTGAAGATCTTCTTCCCCTCTTAATGTCAGTGTAAATTGACCACCACGATGAGAAGTGTGTGTATGCCAGGTAGGCAAAAGTGGTGACTCGCTTTTGGGTTTGACCCAGAGTAGCTTTTCACACTCTGGAGCTTCTACACAATTATATATATCTATATGTATATACAGATACATACACATGAACTGTGGAATGGGGCAACTCATTCCACATTCTTTGCAGCCATATTTTCTCTTGGGTGACACTTTGAGGTTGCTACATCATGGAAGGGAGGGACAATACAGAGAGAGAAACTGCATGATGTGAGGTGTCTCGTAGACCCAACACCACAAGTGTATCTGAAAATAAAAGCTCATGACTTGTTTTAACTTCCTCTGGGGTGTGGGGGGCCACAATGGAGCTGTGTATGGAAGAGAGCATGGCAGGTCAGCACCATGGTGCCAGTACA